GCATCTAGTTATCAGGACCTGACCAACCACGGCATCTGCTTTGACGTCGTAAACGCCGGATAGTGATGGTCGGGCGATTTCCGATAATGCTCTTAAACAGATATGGTTACGTGTTAGACAGATAGAGTTACGTGTTAGATCCGAGGTAAAGGAAGTCTATCTCGCCTCGTACGAAGGCAGTCACTGCATCGCGACTTCCATTTGTTGACACTACAGAGAACGTGCCTTCTTCCAGCTGTCACTTCCAAGGCTTTCTATTGACCTCTTCTCCATTGTACAATCCCCACTTCTTGTCAACTTTACAGCTCAAGAATCACAAACATGTCTCCTCCGTCGGCAATTGAGCCCCAGGCAGGCGACGAGACCAAGCCCAACACGGTTGCGCCGAACGAGCCTGGTCTGAACCAGAAAGATGGAAAGGCGGAGATGCTTAAATTCCCCAAGCCGCCAAAGTTTGATGATCCGTACAAAGAGCGCGCATATCTGAAGGGCCGACTTGCGGCTGCCTTCCGCATCTTTGGCAAATATGGCTTTGACGAAGGTGTGGCTGGTCACATCACGTTGAGGGTAAGTAGAGCACATAACAGGCATACGAGATACTAAGACCATATAGGACCCTGTAGATCCGACAACATTTTGGGTCAACCCATTCGGTGTTGCTTTCAGCTTGATCAAGTCTTCCGATCTCATCCTTGTCAATGATAAAGGCGAAGTCATCGACGGTGGAGAGTGCCGACTGCTGAACACAGCAGCCTATATGATACACCATGCTGTCCATGACGCGCGCCCCGATGTCATCGCTGCAGCACACTCGCACTCCATCTACGGCCGCACGTTCTGCGCACTGGGTCGCAAATTGGACACCATCACCCAAGACTCGTGCGCGTTCCACAACGACCACGTTATTTACGAGTCGTTTAACGGCGTCGTACTAGCCGCGGAGGAGGGCAAGAACATTGCAAAGTGCCTGGGCGACAAGAAGGCGGCGTTACTTCAGAACCACGGCCTGTTGACTGTGGGCAAGAGTGTGGAGGAGGCGGTGTTCTGGTTCATAAGCATGGAGAAGTGCTGTCAAGCACAGCTGATGGCGGACGCGGCGGCGGCGGGACGAGGCGGAGAGACTGTGAAGATTACGGAGGAGGACGCGGTCTACACACACAAGACGATTGGGAGTACGCTGGCCGGGTGGTTCAGTGCGAAGCCGTTGTTCGACGTGATACACAAGGAGACAAACGGAGATTATCTCGAGTAGGAGTGTTTAGTCAATCCAGATCAGTCATCACATGCAAATTGGTGGCGTTGCTCGTAGGGCCCCACCGGCGTCTTAACTCCGCCGGCGGAAGACGAGATGACATATGGGGGCGCGACAAGTTTGTTTTTCTGTTTTGTAAACAAGACGTGCGTAAACGTATCACGGCGGAGAAACTGCAACGGAGCGGAGCGGAGCGGCGAAACACGCAGGTGGCCCTGGGCTCGCTCCAGCTGTGTTTGGGCGAGGGACGAGGGTGGCATGCTCGCTGCAGTTGTGTTTGCGGGCGACGATGGTGTCATAGCGTTCTGCAATGCAGGGTCGCAAACTTACAGTTGAACCCTGGAGCATCACTTGACAACTCGCAGCTTTGCCGCCGCCTACTTGACTTTTCTTTTCACGTCCTCCCAATCCTCGTACATAAAGCCCACCAACTTGCTTATTCGTATTGGAGGCGCATCGCATCTGCCACAGTCGCACAGGCAAGCTGACTCTTCCTGCACGCAAGACGCGAGCCATCTTTAGCGGGGCATGGCAAAGGGTCCTGCAGTCGTAGTCGTCGCCAGGTACCGTCTCACCCACCCTTCACGGCTCCACATTCCGGCTAGATCGCTAACATCCTGCGCAGACATGGCGCGCGTCTCGATGCGGCCGACAAAGCATGGCATCTCTCTTCACCGACGCCCTACGACCCGCCTCTCACTTATGGCGGGTGGTCGCAGGCAAAGGCACTTGGCCAGCGCATAGCGGCACTGCTGCACGAGCGAGATATCCAGCAGGCAGAGGATGCGAAGAACGCGACCAGCAACGACCCCGCACATCTCGACCTGAGCAAGCTGAGCATCTCGAAAGAAGGGAAACCGAAGAAGAAGAAGCGCAAGATCGTCATACACTCGAGCCCTTTCCTACGATGCGTCCAGACGAGCACGGCAGTAGCAGCGGGCATCTCGCAATACCATGCTCCGACCACGCCACAATTGGGCGTGCCTACACCCCCCTCCAAAGACAATAATGGCTCGCTGGTACCCTCTGCGAAGAAGGCGCCGCGCACCAAGTCCACCTCGTCGCAGCCCCGAACCTTCGAACCGCTCGCCGACCCCAATCTCGAGATACTACCGCGACCCCACACAGGCCCGGAGAGGGTGTTGCTACGCATCGATGCCTTCCTGGGCGAATGGCTGTCTCCCGAATACTACGCTGACATCACAGCGCCGCCAAACTCGACCATGATGGTGGCAGGCGCCAAAGCAGATCTACTGCGGAGAGGCGACTACATACAAGAACAGCCAAACCCGAACAGTACCAAGGGCCACTTTCCAGGCGGTTGGGGGTCTGGGACCAGCACACCCACCACTGGCAAGAGCGCTGGTACAGCCATGGGCAGTCTGGCACAGTTTGCACCGCTGCGTGAGCGCTCAAGCAGTTACGCTGGCCCACTAGGTCTCGAACGAACGCCGTCAAAAGAAGCAACCGCACCACTAGCAATGCCCATGCAAACACCAAAGCCCACCGCTGTACCCAAACGCGTTTACCAGCCGCCAAATCCTTCGTACTCCGTCTCTCCAGCCGATCCGATACCACGAGGCTACGTCGCACATGCCCAAGAAGCCTGCGTCAAAGTAGACTTTCAATGGGACAGTATGCGTCCACCACAAAACTGGGGCGATGGCGGCGAGTACGGCGACGAATGGAGCACAATGCACAAGCGTTTTAGGAGAGGCCTTGCGGGCATGATGGAGTGGTACAGAGCCCACGGCACAGCGCCCCCGAAGGATCAATTTCCTGGCTTCATGTTTAAGGAGCCCTTGCGCCTAACACCGCCGCCCATATCGCACGCCAAGTCAGACCCCTTCCCAAACTTCAGCGATGATTCAAATACGGATGATGAGGAAGAGCTGGTTTTGATTCTCATAACTCATGGAGCAGGGTGCAATGCTCTGCTAGGTGCCATGACGAACCAGCCCGTCTTGATGGATATTGGTCTAGCATCGCTTTCCATGGCCGTTCGGAGAGACGAGCCTAAAAAGACACCTGCGCCGGCCACAATACATCAGCGAAGACTTTCGGTAGCGGATCCCGGCATGTCAGATACCTACGACATGAAGCTCTCAGCTTCAGTCGACCATCTGCGGCCTGGTGTCGACCCTTCGAAGCCGCTATCTGCGCAGAGGCAGACACAATCGCCAGCCACCCTAGCAAGCCCATCGTTAGACTCGCGGCGAAGATTCACGGGATCGTCGACGACTAGCAGTCCACTTGACTCGCCCTTCTCGCTCGGTGAGCCATACAGAAACAGTCTGAGCTCGTTGGGAAGCATGCGGCGAACTTTGAGCTCTGGATCGAATTCCAGGTTCATGCAAAGTGCGACAAGCGGGACTGCGTCTCCAGCAGGCGGACTATGGGGAGGTTCAGGGACAAGCACACCGGCGACCGAAGCAGACATGGCCCTCAACTTCTCAAACCAGCATCCACAATCAAAGGCTGCTCCTAATACTTCCACTGCATCCAAATCCAAGAGCAACTCGATTGCACAGATGGACGGTGCATCTGACACAAGCAACCGCCTGACAAAATTGGACTCTAAAGAAGAAAGGGAGGTCAGCGATAGACCCACTCCTCTAGTCAGTGCCCAAGTCCGCAAACAGAGCGTTCCGACAGCATCTGGCGGTCTTTGGGGCGCGAAAGTAGCCCCAAAGAGCAATACTGGGCTTTGGGGACCACCAAAGTTGGATGACGTGTATGAACACCGTCAAGGGCCTAAGAGGCGCTGGACGGTCACCGAGAGGGAGGAGCCTTGAATGTTTTGTGTTGGTGTGTTATTTTTGTCTCTAGCATATAGCGATTGTCTACTCCGAGTCATTACTGTATGTATCGATCGAGTCATTGTTAGCATTAGCGGCGGGCGGGTAATGGCGTTTGATAAGTAACGGCTACGGCTATGAATGAAACATACCACTCAAGAGTAAACGAGATCTGTGAACGTATGCATGTTTGTACGATCAACACGCGTTGTGCTCCGCCTAATCTCGCCCGATGACTGCCATGCCTAAGGCCTGGAAGGCTTGGAAGTTCCACAAACAGCAAGTGACGCAAGCTTGTCTCACGGGATCGTCACCAGCTGCAGAACGTTGCATTCCCTATTACAAAAGCATCAATCCTGGAGTCTTTGGTCGGACTACGTAAATACCGCACCCGAGCTGCATACACGTTTTAAGAGCGCACTTTTGCATCTTGCATCGTCCCGCCGTTCATAAACCCCGTTCCAACCCACACTTTTTGCATTCGCGACAACCGCGCTCGCCGCGACAGGCAGCCCCAGCGCACTTCGAGACCTTAGCAACCCCACCGTTCGTCCCCACGCAACACGCTAAATAGATCACTCGCATTTGCGCGGGAACCGCAACACGGCATCTGATAGGCAGCGGTGGTCGGGCCGATAGATATCCAGGCGGGCACTTCACACGCAGGCACACCTAGTGCAATCCCACAAGGAAGGTTGGCTTGCATTGACACTTTGGTGGGCGAACTATTCACGCTTTATCCGTGAACAAGTTTGCTGCAAGTCGGTTTCAACCATGTCTGTCAAGTTAGTATCCTCTCCTCCTTCTCTCTTCTTTCCATCTATTCTCTCTCCGTCCTGACCTGGTGGTGTTTGCTTGCTGCGCTTCGTGTTGCCCCTCTACTACCCCGCGGATTGTGCATGTAGCTTTCAGGCGTACTTTTGAGGCAACTTTCATTTCATCAGAGCAAAATGGGGTTCAAGACAGAAAAGAAGACGAAGCCTAACCGCAAAACCAGTTGGGTCATGCTCGCCGAGAATGGCGGGTACACACCTCTCCCTGGCGAACAGACACTCTACCAGTCTCCTCCTCGAACCACACTCTCGCTACAGACTAGCCATCGGAATCACCCCAGCGAGTCGTACTCGCAGCAATGCAAGTCGGGCGTTGTATACCTCACAAATCGACGGGTATGTACACAACCTCACCATTTGGTGGACCTTGCCGACTAACCTTCACATTTAGATGATCTACCTCCCCGTCACCCCAACACCCCAACTCCAATCCTTCGCCGTACCCATCCTCAACGTCACAGATTCCCGCGTAACAGCACCCTGGTTCGGCGCAAATAAATGGGAAGCCATCATCCAGCCCGTCCAAGGTGGCGGCATACCACCGCAGCACGCCGAGCTAGACCTGGTCATGGAGTTCAAGGAAGGCGGCGCGTTCGACTTCGCAAGCATATTCGAGCGGTTAAAGGAGCGGTTACGGCAAGCTGTTGAGGTAGCGCGGGAGAGTGGTGGTGACATGGAAGATGGAAGCAGAGGCGTTGACGGTGTCAACATGAACAACGTACACCTGGAAGACCTACCTGCATACGAGGAGAGCAGACAACACGCCAGAGTTCCAGAGCCTCCTCTTAGCCCGCCGTTGGATGGTTCTGCATTTGGTACCGGCGGTCCTGTTATTGCGGCACCCACGCCATCAAGCCCACAAGCATCCAGTCCGTTGTCGAGCCCGCGAACACAACAGGAGCATTTTGAGCCTCCATCAGACCCACCGCCAGGATATGAGGAGGTTCAGAGAGGTAGCATTGCAGACGAACTGGAAAGACAGGTGATGAATAATCCATGGCAGGAAGAGGAAGCAAGGCGGTGAGCCGAAGAATATTTTCATGATTAGATGGATGTGTTTGAGCAGGGCGTTCCGGGGCAGTCGGCTTTACATGGCCGTAGACATGTCTTGTCACATTACCTCAATATTCCGCTTGGTAGACTTCTTGAGGAACAACTTATAGTCGGTGTGTCCGTTGGCTTTAGACGGTCGCCAATACCATATTCTTCACCTCGGATGCCTGCACGTCCACTAGTTGGTGCGACATGACTTCGGTCAGCATCAGCAACTCAGCAGTCAGCTCCACGAAGCAGCACATGATCAGGAAACGTTTCTAAACTGCGCAGATTGACATGTGAAGCGTCCGCAGACACCCCAGCCGCCCGCATATTGAGCATGTGAAAGCTAGCTCCCCCAGAAAGGATGACGCGCCCCACAAACGAGCTAACCTGAAACGTAACGTACCTCGGCGATTCGCATGCGAATGACCTAATGCTTGCCGCGACCGAACAGTAGTGTCCGCTGCTCCATATACTTCACTCCAAGCCCCCTTCTCTAGTTCTTTCTTTACACAGCTTCTGTATTAACATTACTATTCAAAATGGCCAACCAAGCACCCAACAAAGGTATGTTATGGTAGAGCTTAGGGATCGAGGACAACGAGTGATGAACGAGATCGCTGACGTTTCATAAAGTTCAGGAACGCCTTACGCAGGTCGAGGGCCATCTCACAGGCGGAAGTGGGAGCCCTGGAGCAGTGAGCTCAAAGGGAAAGAAGAGTTTGTTGGAGAAGAAGCCTGACGACGTGAGTTGCACATTCCATCTTCGAACGATGCGACACTAGCGCTTTCGAGCCTATCGCATTTGCTCGTGATGTCCATACACCTGAGGGCTCTTTCTATCTGCGGAGTACTGTACTAACAATCATCTCAATAGATTGTCGTAACCTGCGCACTCCGTACCGCCATCACAAAGGGCGGAAAGGGTGGCTTCAAAGACACCCAAGCATCTGACCTCCTCCACGGCGCCTACAAGGCCCTCATCGAGCGCTCCGGAATCGATCCCAACCTCGTCGAAGACATTGCTGTTGGCGCTGTCCTCGCCCCAGGAGGCGGTGCAACCGAGTTCCGCGCCGCAGCCCTCGCCGCTGGCTTCCCTACCACAACCGCAACAAAGAGCTTGAACAGGCAATGCTCCTCCGGTCTACAAGCATGTGTTGACATTGCCAATGCCATCAAGTCGGGCATGATCGAGGTCGGTATCGGCGCCGGCGCAGAGAGCATGAGCACACAGTATGGTCCTGGCGCCGTATCTGAGTTCTCTGAGCTCCTCGAATCCCACAAGGAATCTGCAAACTGCAAGGTCCCCATGGGTGTACTTTCAGAGCAAATGGCAAAGGCCAAGGGTATCTCCCGTAGCGAACAAGACGCATTCGCCGCGTCGTCGTTCCAGAAGGCTACCGAGGCGCAGAAACAAGGGCTGTTCGATGAGGAGATCGCGCCTGTGACCGTCCAGTGGACGAACCCCAAGACCAAGAAGGAAGAGACCATCACTGTTTCCAAGGATGATGGTGTCAGGGAGGGCGTTACCGCAGAATCTCTTAGTAAGATCCGTCCTGCGTTTGCAAAAGACGGTTCCATCCACGGCGGCAACGCTTCTCAAATCTCCGACGGTGCCGCTGCCGTTCTTCTCATGAAGCGTAGCACAGCTCAGCGCCTAGGCCAAAAAATCATTGGAAAGTTTGTCCAAGCTTCCATCGTCGGTGTGCCGCCCCTCTTGATGGGTGTAGGCCCCGCTGCCGCTATCCCCGTTGTCCTCGAGAAGACTGGCTTGAACAAGCAGGATGTGGACATTTACGAGATCAACGAGGCATTTGCTAGTCAGTGCCTCTACTGCATCAACGAACTTGGCTTGGACCAGAAGAAGGTGAACCCCAAGGGTGGTGCTATTGCTTTCGGACATCCGTTGGGTGTCACAGGTGCTAGGCAGGTTAGCACACTTCTTACGGAGCTGAGGAGGACAAAGCAGAGCATTGGTGTTACTAGCATGTGCATTGGTACTGGTATGGGTATGGCTGCTGTTTGGGTGGCCGAGTAAGTCTCAATAATGGCTTATGGTCACACGATGAAAGTGAATATCTTCTCGAACATTTTGTGAAATATAATTCAATTACATAGTGTTATGAAGAGTAAAATGGTATGTGGTGTGAATGCTATATACAATATTCGCTGGACGTTTCGCTTCAACCAAGCTGGCTGGATACAATGCTTCCTGCGTACGTCCGCATGCGCAGATCTGATTTCTTTCTTGTCCTCCTGGCCATTGATGCCGTTTCCCTACAGACCGCTACTTCTGTGCTGTTGATACCGTGACCCCGAAATCTGGCGCTACTATCGTGTCCCTCTCCTTCTCTATGGAAGTCTCTTATCGTTCCTGTAACCCGTCCCTGGACGTCGCTGTATGTCGGCTATGCCTCTGACTCGGTTCTAAACAGGCCTATGTATGTAATGTCGATGTGCTTTCTAACACACACTCCCGTCCTTTCACCCAGCATCAATGTTGTACTCGTACGGCAAGTCTCCCTCACTCGGATTAGGATGCAAGCGAATGACACTTCCAGCACTGCCCAAAGAACTCTCACTCGAGTTGGGTAACAAGGTACTTGGACTTCTTCGCGGTCTTTCATGAACCACAACAGATCCTGTGTCCGATTCTGCATCCGCATATGATCTTTGTGAGGGTGTGCGTGGCGTGCCAAAAACGGTGGAGCTGCGCTGTTGGCGCGATGGTGCGGTGCGGACAGTCTGAGGTGAATGTGGAGTTGAACTACTATCGGAGGTGGAGAGGGAACTGTTGAAAGAGGACAAGGAGATTTGGCGCTCGAGTTGGGGTGTGCGGTAGGGCAGATGCGAGTGCGAGGAGATGCTTGATTCGGAGCTGGACTCTGTGGGTGCGAGGCTGCGCGTATCAGACTCGATGTCTTGTGCGCGTGCTTCTTCGATAATTTCGGGGTCGACTTCTGTCATCCCACTGAGTATCTCTGCGAAGACCGCCATGATATCTCTGAATTGTGTCTCCGTCAAACTCGTGGTAGAGTAGCGGGCGTATTCGTATTGTGCGAGGAACACAGCGCCGAGAGAGGGTGGATTCAATAGCCCGAAGTCTGCGAGGCGAGCGAGGTATTCGCGCAAGCCCATTGCGCGCGGACGCTGAAGGAGGGTGACAATGCGCGCATCCGGCAGAGGCGGCGCATTGTCAGGATACTGTGGAGCGCTTTCCTCGATCGCAGGGTCTGGCGGCGCGAGTGAAACGGCTTTCGCTTCGATGAGGTTGGGCAGTTCGCAGATGACGCCCCAGTACTGTAGGTTTGGCAGATCAGGCGACGAAGGGGAGGCCCAGCCAGGATGCGAGACATTGCCCCAAGGCAGCGAGTTCATAGAAACGGGGATGATTGTCGCATCAGGTGCATGGTGATGGTGATGGTGGCCTTTCTTGTGCGATTTGTGCTTCTCCCTCCTCGTCTCCGCTGTGTTCGGCCGTGATTCCTCTCCTTTCTCCTCATCTAGGTCAACCTCACCCCTAACATCCCTCGGCCTGCTGTCCCATGCAATAACTGCACTCCTCTTGAAATGCTTCATAATCATCCTCCGCACCCCTTTGCCCACCTCTCCTTCCTCGATCGGCACATAGCTTTTCGGTATCGCCGCAAGCACAGTCCTATTTGTGTAGATGCGCGTCGAGTAGATCAACAGTACGATCAAACAAGTGAGCAGGTAGACGCCACCGATGACAAAAAGCTTTTGAAGTTCTTCAGATTTGATCGACTGATATATCGTATCCGCAGGCGTGACGGCGAGGAGGAGGAGCAGGATTATGAGAAGGGTCGTGTACGTGGTCGAGTACCAGATGCGGAAGAGTGGAATGCGCATCATGGCGGCGGCAGTAGTAGTAAGGCGTAAGGAAGGTATGCATCGGTCTGAGGATATTATAAATTATAGCTAGAGAAGTGAAGTGGCGGCTACATGGCGGACTGAGGGGAGGATGAGCTATGTGATCATGGGGTTGCTGTGAAAGGAGGAGGGAGGGGCCAAGCTACTGACGCGCGCTTCATGCATATGCGCGCGACCCACTCGTTTCCCACCCGCACATTAACCCTCTACCCTACAAATTCCTGATCACGCGGAGCGTTTCTGACAGTAGATATAATCCGGCTCGCTACACAGTTCTCGATCAAAAATCTCAACTCTCGCCTCCTTTTTTTATTCCCTCTGCACTTCATGCAACGACCAAAGTAGAACGTTATACCCCTCACGACAGCCTCAACCGCAACGATAGTACAGAGGGTGTTAGAAACGCTGCACGTCATTGCCATGTCGTCATGTTTCGAAACATTATCGACGAAGATCACTACCCGAGCCAAGCAGCCTACGACCGCTAACTGAGACACGCAACGGCGCAACTCATCTTCTAACGCTTAAGTCTAATATAGTACCCGCTTGAAGCGAGAAATGTCTTAGAAGCTTGCTAACTCGACAGCCGTCTTCTCGCTGGGACTTCGAGGATCGAATACCTTGCGACTTTGATCGTTTCTTGCCTTCCATCACAATGGACACCCGTAAAGGCTCCCTGCGTCCACGCGCGTGTACGCCGCAGTGCGTTTGTCGCAACTTTCCCTTCCGAGCTTAGTGCACATGCGGCTACAGGTGAATTGACCTCTTCTACGCAAGAGACTGCAGCGCACCTGCAACTTCATCGTTCGCCGCTTCGTTGGCCCCTTCCTTTCGTACGACCTTCCGAGCCCCGACAGGTACACGCTGGTCTGGATTTCTCACACACTGGAACGCAACAAAGCCCACGGACGGAAAGGACATCACCCTCGCGGACCACACCACGTCACAAGCAGGGAAACGAAGTATTATGTCATGATAACATTACTGCCTAACCTGTCTCAAGGCTAAGGATCATGTACACATACGATGGATGCTTGAAGCACCAACATCTATGAGGAACTCTGGTGTCATATCGTCAACCTCTGAGAGCCCTCAGTGCGAGCTTTTACGGTCGCACTCTCCGAACGTCCACACGTTCCTTCCTCGGCTCAATAAAGCAATCTCGGTATCATCCCACACGCCAGCCGCCGACGTGATCATACCCGCCAGTAAAAGAGAAGAGAGTAAAAAGCCTTCGTGACCAGGATTAAGAGGGGTTGAAGGCACCTCGTGTGCAGATGTCTAATCGTGTCGAGGGGTAATTTGGAGTTTTGAAAAGGCATGAAGAAGGAAATGCCGCCCACCGTAACACCATGCAATGCCGCAAAAATGACAAGTTAGAAGAAAAGGTCCAAGTCATAGCCATGTCACCAGCTGGGGTGTGTAGTCAAGGCTCATTGAAACCGAATCTGGAGAGGAAGGTCGCTCAAGACTTGCGGAAATCCGACAAGACTGGGTAAATAAGCTCAAAGGCCTGGTAGATCTCCTCACGGACCTTGGCACCAGTAAGGACGATCTTGCCAGATACGAAGATCAAGAGGACAATTCTCGGCTTCATCATACGGTAGATGAGACCAGGGAACAGCTCAGGCTCGTAGGAAGAGAAAGTGTGATGGCGAGATGCAAGACCCTCGAGACGAATAGGGAAGCGAATGTCGCAGGAGCCGACAATGTTCTGAATCTTGAAGTCCTATGTCAATGTTAGCATTGAAGAAGGGATACTCAGTCCGACACAACATACGGTGAACTTTGCGCTAAACCCGAGCTTCTGGATAATCCGCGCGTATTTGCGGGAAGCAAGGCGGCTGTCATCTTCAGACTTGGCACCGGTTACAACCATTTTTCCACTCGCAAAGACCAAGGCCGTCGTCTTAGGCTCGCGAATACGCATGATCACAGCAGCGAAACGCTTGGGGTTGTATTCGGCGTTACGGGCGTGAAGAGCGATGGTCTTGAGATCAAGGCGAGCGGACAGGTTGACAGTAGCCACGATGTTCTGGAGAGTAGGCACGATGCCAGAAGGCACTTGACCGTTCTGTGTATCGGGAGTAGCCGCAGGCGTCGCAACACCGTTCGCATTTTCGGCGACCTGCTGAGTGTTCTGCTCAGTGGCAGGGGCAGTCAGGTCGAGGGTCGCGCCCTGGGGGTAGGAGAGAGATCCAGGAGCAACGAACTGAGAGCGAACGTTAGAACAAGGTTGACAAACGGGAGACATCACGAGAGCTTACCGTCTGAGCCTGTGCGGCGGTGGACGGGGGAGAAGTCAGGGAGTTTGGATCCATGATGAATTTATGATTGGAATTGGAGCGATAGACTCTTGAGGAGAGTGAGAGGTATCTTGACAGACTGCGCAGGTCAGAGTGTGTTCTAAAGCGGCAGCGACGGTCAAGCCGGGCGGACTACGAGATCGCGATGTGTAGAGCGAGGTCGGTCGACGCCGGAGGAGTGTGTCTGTCTATGGAATAGGTGGAGACGGTACCGGAGGCAGGAGAGCTACAAGCGAATGTGTCCCTCGCAAACGTTGACAAGTATGCCGTCGAGTAGTAAGCTGTCGCAGAGACGACGGCGAGTTAGTGGAGTATTAAGGTGACCAAAAGCGTAGCCAGCAAGCCTTTGGCGGGGTAAGTCGAGATTGCGACTGAAGATGAGGCTGCTGTTGGGCTGTCGCAAGCTGGATGAAGCTAGCGCCGATCGCGACCTCTGAGAGAGTGGATATGTGCGGATTTAGCACACCGGAGTTTTTGAGTCGCAGTGTTAGTGAGCACGCAGCTGAAAATGTGAGTTTTCAAGTGCGGCGATGGTGGTGTAGAGAGGTTGAGGTGTTGCGACAACGGCGGGCTCGGCGGAAATCTCGTGAAAAAGTTGGGGGGGAGGCCGAGAACTTATAGTGCTGGGAGCCCGCCCGCCAAGCCCTGTGAGGCGCGCTAGCGAGCAGGGGTTCAGCGGCGATTGGGGCTTAGCTTCAGATAGCCGGTAGCGAGAAGATTCTGCTGTGAGCAAAAGGGGCTCCCATCATCATGCGTGACCGTTTCCCTTCACTTCCCCAGCTTCACTCCGCATATGCCATGTCGCAGTCACTGATGCAGCTTGCCTGTCGTGGTCGCGGTGCCGCCGGCTGCTTGTGCATGCCATACTGGAAGGTGCAGCGGTGGTGATGTTGCTGCTGCCTTACTGATGCTCGCAGGTCGGCCGGTGCCTTTACCTCATTACCAGCGATGACGACGCACTGACCCGGATTGAGCGATGGCCCAAATCCAGCCCGTCCACTCGACCCCGTCGCCTCACTTGCCGCACAGTGGCCGCCATCGCCCGCGCAGACTGAAGAGAAAAATCTCATCGCGACACGTCTCCTTGAAAACTTATGGTTGAGTTGCCGCCCTTTGGAATGAGTGCGACAACCTGAGACAGCTGCGCCTTCCCGGCTTTGAATGCGCGCACACTCAACACGCGCTCAACAAAGCGCAAACAATAGAATACAAAATCACGGCGACAACAAGGGCGTCGGTGGGCGATAGGAAAACATAACAAAGATCTTGAATGCGGGGATGATCGCTGAGAGTTGGAGTTGGGAGTGCAGCCTGGTGTGCACGACTTTTTGGGGGTTGCATGGATCGTCGGCCTATGACTCACGAACGCGCTCACCGGAAAGCGACACATCTCCCCTTGCTATAAGCCTTCGCCTCTCTTGCTTTTGTAGTCTGGAACACCGCCTTTCACGTGTCTTAAACCCTGGAGTAGTTGCTGCTGGAAATGATTGGATTAGTACTGACAAGGTATCAAGCAGGTATTGTCGAGGGTTGGTAGTGATTGGGCAGCGTTCCGACATCGTCAGCCAACCCATCGTTGAATGCCACTCCATTGGGTTTTTGTTTTACATACAAAAAGTATGATATCGTATGATTGCTGCTGCAGTTAGTGAAATGTCCCCTTGATACCAGTGATTTAGCGTGTCCCCAGCTAAGGTGGATATCTGCAGTGAGGTCGGTTTGCGTCGACGAGCACGATAGATCTTGGTCGAAATTAGTGGGTGTTCTTACGGTTTAATACAGACGACCATGAAGGAAGGGTCGATGACTAAGATATCGGCGCTCATCTAAAGCACGCATGCAACGCTGTCCTTGCCACTCCTACTGCAACGGCTTTACCGAAGTCAACATTCACTATTGGCGCTGTCCCTGCGAAGTTCTCAGCAATGAACGACGCGCTGTTTTTTTTACAGCATTTCTATCGTGATAGATTAAAGCAATTATTGGGTTTGTCTGCCTCGTGATGATGACTTCGAGCTGCATGCAATAGCAAAGACAGCAGAGCATTAATACCAGACTGACTCGCAAATTCGCACTTTCTATTGATGCAATAAGAGAACAGAACGAGGACTAATCTTGCAGCCTTGCTCGGCAACTTCCAGACTTCAGTCCTACAGCCCTACTACGGCACACAGGCCACGATCATAGCACCCGCTTCTTGAACTGGACGATCGGGCCTTCACGGAGAGAGATGTACGCGTCTCTCAGCTGGAAGTGGCCACGGTTCCTTCTGCCCCAGCCAAGATCAGGACGACCTTCTCCAACGCATTGTCCAGGAGCCTGTCGCACGTCGTATCTCCAGAGAGTTCTTCCAACAATCATGCAAAGTTGTATCATTGCCATCTTCTGACCTAGGCAGCTTCCTACGCCCTTGGAGAAAGGATGGAAGGATCGCTTCAAGTGGTTCACCTCATCTTGCGTATTCGAATCGGAGGCGATCCATCTCTCTGGGCGGAAGGTGTTGTAATCACCCCAGAGGGCTTCGTTCCGGCCGAGCGACCACTTGGGCACTCCGATCGTGATACCTCCAGGAATATGTTCGCCAGCGATCCTGATGCCACCCGAAAGTACAGTGCGTTCAAGCTCGCTAGGGCCAGCTGGCGAGAGGCGCAAGGTCTCATACACCGCTGCTCTGAGGTACTCGCATTTTGCCATCAGATCCGGACCTGAGCCGATATCTTCAGCACTGCCGAAGTTGTTCCTAATCTCATGAACCAGCTTTGTGTAGACTTTCGGGTTGCGAGTGAGGAAGAAGAAGAGCGCGGTTACTGTTGCACTCGTGGTGTCTGAGCCGGCAACAGTGAGAAGATTTGCATCGGCTATCAAGTTTTCGGTACTCAGCGCAAAACCACCCGTCTCTGGGTCCTTGGCTGTGCACAAGAAGTGGAACATGTCTTCACGCTCAGCTGGACGTTTTTCGGTTTCGTTCTTCCTTTCAGACTCGACACGGCTCATGGCCAGATTTTCAGTAAAGGCAAAGTACTCTTTGATCTCCTTCGGAGTGATGAGCTTCATCAAGTTATCCAGACCACGAGGCTTGAGCCAAAGCAACAAGCTTCGAAATGGTGACTTGGCGAGCTACGGCCGTCAGACTGGATACAAGGGCTACGATAGGGGCTAATAGCAACTCACAGGGTTATAAAAGCGCAGGTATCTAGTGATGTTGTACGGAATACGCTTCAGATTGTTCGGCCCAGGCTCTTTGGTGTTGTTGGAGCTGCCGAAACAGATGTCGCCGAACATGTCGAAGAGCAAGAAGTCAGTCCACTCCGTAAGGTTTTGCGGTCCCGACCATCCCTCGACACCGAAAATCTCACCGGGCAGTAACTCATTCCAGCGGTCGACATGCCGAGCTACAAAAGGTACGGTAGCCTTGACTGATTGATCGGTAAAAGCTAATGAGAGGGCTTTTCTCCTCCTGGCGTGCGTTTCAACATCGGTACAGCCTAATGTGTTGAGGTCGTGTTTGTTACGCCTCCATACTTCATAAAACGGGGACTTCTTGACGTTCGCTTTGTGACCGAACATGGCATTGTAAGCTTCAGGTGTCTGGAAGAGAAGAAGGTTTGGAGTCGCTCGGAACTTGTCACCTAGCGAAGGGGGTCAGTGGGATGTATGAAGGAAGTCTGGCGTCGAACGTACCATAAATCTGGAACTGTCTCCAAGACCAGATGTGACGGTCTCCTACGCAGGCATGGTAGAATGAGGGAATGCCTGAAATACGAGCAAAGAACGGCCCTGGCTGTTTCGCAAGAGGATGGAACCATAGGTTGTATACGGCGCAACACACAAACTGTCTTCATGTAAGTCAAGACTGTATTATACGTTAAAGAGTCACTGACATAGGTTACGGCCACAACGATGGCGATTGGGATCGAAGTGATCATTCTGGGCCAGAACAGAAAGAGGTTTAGGTATCGATGGTTTGGAGAAACTTGTGGTCGAGACTGCTAGAGTTGAGCCTCCATGACGCTTGACTTTATATCTTGCGACACCGTAGGACTTTCCTGATATTTTCATGAACTCTATCAGACGCATCAAAGCTCCTTCCGTGCAGTCTTTCCGCCCTGGACCCTTCTAGCTAGACAATCAGCCACCACCATACCAACATGTGGGCATCTCATCCTCGTTCACAGCTTACGATGGTCTTCAGTGGCAGTAGGAGCCTCCTCCCGCGTCCCCTATCTTTTTCCACCATTCAGCCTTCTGGTTTTCCATCTCTCTCTCCGAGACAACGCTAATTGACTGCCGTCGATTTATCCGCTATGCTAGGCCATCCTCACTGAGAAAAGACGTCTCTATTAACAGCATATCGAGCATATCAGGCATACCAGCACGATTGCAGTGGCGCTTGGAGTCGACAGCAAAGAAACTCATCACTCGATAGTCTACTAAAATCGTATGTATGTGCCCCAGTTCGAGGTTGGTTCACGGCTCTTCTTCGTGTTAGTTCTACTGAGGGTGTAAGCGCGATGGCTGTTCGAGCATAGTGGTGACCCACAAGTAAGCGGCTGCGGTGGCAGTTATCAATCTAGAAAACCGAGGCTAACCACGATCTGTGAAGCTATCGCATCTGCAGTCATCCATCGTTGAGTCGCCGACCGCGACGACGGCCATCTCAACATCAATTCTGCCAGTCTAAGCGCCATCCCATGGGGCCAGATTGGCGACAGGTCTGGAAAACGGATTCCGATATTCGCGGCGACGACAATCGTGTCAGAAACTGGGTTATGGGTATGAGAGATAACACGAAGAGGACTCGACTCTACTGTGATGTTGGTATGGATCACTCTATAGACTTACGCTGCATTCTTTGTTGTTCCACTGATTAACTAAGAGACAGTGAAAACATCAGGCTAAATCGTCGTAAAGATCCCAAGATAAGCGAGCGCCTTCATAAGATTGACCCTGTCTCGCGAAAAGAGTCCATCATAGATACGTTCGCGAAGTATTTGCGTCGGGCCACTTTCATCGGTTACACCTCACCACGTCAGGGCGTACGAGAGGCGCAGCTTCCTTGCACAATTCGTTAACCCACAGGTCTTTGTATATTGGCCTCGCTAATTGGGTCTTGGACGGGCATTTAACCAGTCTCTCGGTACAAGACTACTGTTGACTTTTAGTTCTCCCGGTTCAACAAGCAACGCCCGGGCGGGAGGCGGGCGGCAACACTGGCCCCAATCGCATAGCCCCGCCCCCACAACCATCCTTCGGGGGCGTATCCTTCACCACCCACATGAATTCGGGCACACCGAGAACAGCCACACATATAGACATCTTACTCCGGCTCGCATATGGGGGCCAAGGAATATCTTTATTGCGGCGTCCTTGTGATACCATCGTCTGGGAACCGTCAGCTTACTATCGGTTCGCAACATCATGCAGCAGTTGAAAGGCTTGATTTGTGATACCGTCGGGCGGCCAGGACTTGAACGGTATCCTTCGCCGTGCGTTGTTAGATACATGCGTTCCGATAGCCAGTGATGCATGGCACGGTCTTATCGTAAGTGCAAGGAGAATGGTGTGTTCACTTTCGCTAGGAGGCACAGTTGTTACACCCCTGATAGTCACCCTTTTATAATATATTGTCCCTTTGTGTTTGGCTTCTTTCTTAAGTTTTTCAGATCAGAGCACAAAGATGTCTTCTACTTCGAGGGGCGATATCGTCATGGACACTTCAAGTGTCGAGAAGGCGTTTACAGACACCTCATCCCCCAATGAAGCCGAGACCGTGGCTACGCCTGATGAATCGAAGTACATCACGGGTATCAAACTCTATCTGATCAACACTTGTCTTACGGTCTCTATTTTCCTTGTGACTCTCGAGTCTACAATCATCAGTACCGCTATTGTGGATATTACCGATGAATTAGGCGGCTATGAGAAGAGCTCATGGCTCTTCACAGCATACATGTTGACGTACTGCAGTAAGTATTGTATTACAATATCGGATTAGTTGCTTGTCTAACCTCACTTAAGGTCTCCAGATGATCTGGGCGAAACTGTCAGACATTGCAGGACGGAAGTACACACTCATCGCTGCACTACTCATCTTCACCTTGTTCTCGGCACTCTGTGGGGCTAGTCAGACACTCATACAGCTCATCATATTTAGATGGTGCCAGGGTATCGGAGGCTGTGGTGTATATGCCCTCACTCAACTCCTGTTCATGGAAATTGTTCCAAAGAGGAAGTTTCCACAGTACATGGCGGGTGTTAGCATGGTGCTTGCGCTCAGTTTGATCACAGGGCCGCTTCTTGGTGGCGGTATCACACTGCACGGAAGCTGGCGGTGGATCTTCCTTTTGAAGTACGTGTCTTTGCTGAAGGAACTCATTGAGCCTACTGACATTATGATCAGCGTCCCTGTAGGAGTTCTTACTGCCGTTTCACTGTGCTTCACACTTCCGAGAACACTCTTCAACGAACCTGCTGCGCAGCAGAAACACCCCATTTTCTCAAAGCACACTCTCCGTCGGCTCGACTTTCTAGGCGCGACCTTGATGCTGGGAACTCTTGTATTGCTTGCTACAGGTCTGCAACAAGCATCGCTAGACTATGCTTGGTCGTCTAACAAAGTTCTTCCCCTACTCGTTGCCTCTGCACCTTTCGCGATTGCCTTCTTCACATGGCAATGGTACGCAACGCAGCGTCGCACTAACCCAGAGCCTGTCTTCCCTTGGCGCTTCTGCCAAAGTCGCATACAGCTGGGCATGATCATGTATGTCTGCCAAATTCTACCATTATCTCAAACCATCCTAACATGTACTCTAGAAATACCTATCTCTCCGGCACAGTCATGTTCGTATGCATCGCACAGATTCCCCAACGCTACATCACCGTGAACGGCCTCTCCCCTCTGGCAGCTGCCGTCCGCCTCCTCACATACGGCGCTTTCGTACCCTTTGGCAGTGGAGTTGCTGGCGCTTTGATGGGAAAACCCAGGATACCGCCATGCTGGATCATCCTAGCAGGCTCCCTAATGGAGGTTCTCGGTATCACGTTGCTCGCGTGGATTGACACTTCGTCGCATATTGATGCTAGTCAGTATGCGTACCAGATCATTGCGGGCACAGGAACCGGTCTTGTTAATTCCGGACTTATCATGCTTGTGCCGTATGCGATGGAGAAGAGGGATTTGGGTAAGTCACACATTATTTCCTGACACGCATAACTTCAAGTGTCATGTTACTGACAATTACTAGCGGTTGGGTCAGCAGCTACGTCGCAGTTCCGCACCTTGGGCGGTCTGGTCGGTATCGCTATTGTGACATCTATCTCCACACCTTACATTCGTTCCCACCTGACCGATATCCTTCCCTTGGAACTTGCAGAAAGTTTGTTAGAAAGGACGGAATTAGTGCAACATCTTTCACCTGAAACTCTAGAGCGGGTGAGGATGTTGTTTGGAGAGGCGTATAACCTGCAAGTCAAGGTGCTGATTGGATTTGCGGTGGCCAAGGTGCCGGTTACGGGTTTGATGTGGACAAATCTAAGAGTTGAGAGTAAGTGATTAGGTGAAAATGATGATAGAGGAGCCTAGATTTCCTTGCGCCGATAGCTCCAATGTAGGTCATATTCCAGACTCCGATAGCAAAACGGGTTTGGACACTATAAGAAAGCGGCCGCCCGTCCATCAAAAGCCTGCCATAACCTGCTAAAAGCCCAACGAAACACGGCAACCTAATAAAGTCTAGTTTAGGTCGTCGTCTTGTTCTTCTTCCTCGAACTCACCGTCCTCATCCTCTCCTAGCTCAATCTCCTTATCGTCGTCAGCCTCGTCAAAATCTACCTCATCACCACTATCCAAGAAGTCCTCGTCAGAAAGCGAGAATTTATCGTAGTTTTCCTGCGTCTCCTCCGCCTTAATCTTCTCCATCTCGATCTCATGCGCCTGTCTCATTCGCGCACGCTCCTGTTCCTGACGGGCCATAAGTCGCGCAACCACCACCATGATCGCATCCTCACCAAAACTCGGAGCCAGTGTACGGAGGATGTTGTTGATATCTCCCTGTGTGATGGGATCACCAGTGGCTTCGAAGAGTAGGTGTTTGCATGTTGGACAGGTATGACCGGCGTCAAGCCAGGCGTCTAGACAGTCTTTGCCGACAATGTGGCCGCAGGCAGCGACGCGAATAGCGGCATGGCATTTTGGGTCGGGGATACCGTCTTTGGTGGGGTGAACAGCAAGAGGCTGGAGACATATGTAGCAGTCCTGCGAGGCATGTGTGTGCGACTGTCGAAATTGCTCAAGACCTAGGTTGTTGAAATCTTGCTTGTTTGCAAAGACTGTCATTGCAATTTTGGTAGAGTTGAATTGTTCGTGACCGTAGTATAGTTTGTAGAGGGCTGAAATCAGTGGAAAGGTGAGTATTCAATATGTTATCTATAGTGAGAGTGAGGCGAGGGTCGTAGTGGGTCGCTCCTTCTCGAGGCAGCTCGACCAAGGTGAAGTAGTGCACGGTCATTCTACTGCTTGCTGTAATTGTTGGAGGAATCCAGATATTCTCAGTGGCTTTTGCTTGAGACTGTTCGTCACTACCGACATGGAAGTTGTAGACCTATTGCAGTGATCAGAGCAACCAGTTTCGCCTCTCTACCACGGTTCGCGTTGACTCTCCGCAGATTAAGTGGTACTCGCAACCAAATCAGAACCGCTCGTTTGCCAAAACATGAGAACATGCGCTTCCGTCAACATGGTAATCGCATATTGCAAAGTACGAGGGTGCCTATTTATTCATGACCGACTCTAGGTGAAATCGCAGTCATGTGGTCTGTTTCTGTGTCAACATAGAACACAGTAGGAAGCTGCCTGCGATATCTTAATAGGAGGATGTAGCCAGTATAACAAAATTCCTTCGTATCCGCATGATGTTTCATGCGCTAGCTGAGGCACCGGCGTAAGGTGAAAGCATAATCATCTTGCAGTATGATCAATAAGCGAGATGCGTGTAATGATGGCGATACTCGCTACTGGTGAAGACAAAGTGAAGACAAGCAGCGTCGACGTTGTGCCGTTGGAGATTTAGGGGCTGTCTAGAAGATAATGACCAGACTAGCGGGACTGCTAGTATGTTAGCCACATTCTGGATAGAGTCAAGGTAGCCGTATAGACGGCAGGACAATAGTAAGATAGATCGACTTCGAAACGGGTCAATGCATGTGAAACAATAGTCCTTTTGCGCTCGAGCATGTAGTTCCTGCTGTTATTCGTTTTCTCTAACCAATTTCACGCTCATTACCGTGCTGCCGTGTCTTGTCCTCCAGTATCAATAATTCGTCAGTCATCAGCAAATCTGCCGCCGGCTACTTGAAGCGCGTGATCCCATCACCAACAAGACACACCGTATTTCCGGCATGAATGCTACCTGGAATTTAGGCTTGCATCATAACCAGACCTCAGTGGACCACGTTGGTATTGCAGCTCTCGGTGCACGTTTGGAAGAAGGCAATCTTTCGACAACGCGCGGCAACAGCACTCGTCGATCAACAGAACCGTCAGTCTGGACGGCGGCTTCCTGACCCCCTGGTACAGCTATAAACATAGACTTGAGACGTGTGTAGAGTGACGGCTGCGGAGGAGCTAGCAAGGTTTCTATGTTTGGTTCCGGACCAGGTGATGGCGGGACGCTTATCGGAGTACGAAGTGGCGAGGAAGGGGGAGACGTAGTTGTATGTTGTACTAACGTAGGTACCGGGCCTCGAGAGGGTGTTGACTCAAGTGAAGGCGGTACTGGTTGTGCTGGAGTAGGCGAGGGCGTTTTTATCGGCGCTGTTGTGGTTGGCAAGGGCTTTGGTGGTGTAGGCGGCATGGACATCGCCAGTTCAAGAGGTGCGACAACTTCTGGCTCAGGAGGAGGCATGGGCGCTGCAACGGTCCCTGTAGGCCATCTGCTTGGTGCACGTGTTGACGGCCCTGCATCTTGCAGTAAGGGGGTCGATCGCTGGACAGGTGAAACGAAAGGGTCCTCTTCCATATTTGACATAAATACTGGCTGGCCTGACGCGATGGCTGTTCTATCTCTCAAGTCGTCGCTGGGTCTTGGGCTTGCCTCTGGTATTGGATCCAGACGTGCTATTGGCCGACCAGAGTACGTTGGCGCTGGTCCGTCATCGATCATCTGCTTGACAACGATTGGGCCTCTTTCGCCGTCGTCCAGAAAGGGCCCTTTGTAGACCTCGCGGCGTCTGAAGCATCGGCAGCAACACAGCATGGAAAGTAGACCTCTATACCGCATCTTTCAGTAAATCAATCTCTGAGGAACAAGAACGTATGTACAGCCATAATGTGACGAATGGCTTGCGAAGTGTTGAAGGAAGAGAGTGGACTTCAATGAGCGTGCAAGTTGGTCTATATGACAGATATGAGAAGAGTGCAATGCACTCACAACAGCAGAGCGATAGCCGCAGCAAGACCTCCAATGAGACCATTCCTTACGTTGCGCCCACCGCTGTAAGCTTCATCTTCCGCCAACAATAGGTCCGCATGGATGTCGCGTCGCGAAAGGCGAAATGGAAGGTTCAGCCTAAGCGACGATGCTCCGGAGGTCTGCTTGACCATCGGGGTGCTGGTAGCGCTATACACACCTGTCAGAGCCACTGAGGTTGTCGAAGTGGGCCGCGACTTGGGTACACCCTGCGACGCGCTAGTTGGTATGTCTTCCTCCGATGGATACCATATTCCAGCCTTCACTGTGCCATTTCCTGCAGTGATACCAGCATTTTCTTCCTCAGTGCAGCTGAGATATGCCTCCCGAATCCAGCAAATCGGTGCCGGAGAGGTTCCCGCGTCGTTTTTGTGATCAGAAGTGCTAGGGCCTTCGGTACCAAAGCTAGACAGATCGACATTGCGACCCATACTGATGTCATCGCCTTGGATGACGCGAGTGAAAACAGTGAAGGCGGTCTCTGGCTGGTAATACGGTACTTGGTGGCCGGCATCATAAATCCGAGAGAACGAGAGGTTGCCATATTGACGGACTGCTCCGCCAATGTAGGAATCGTTCACAACAATGTCCGCATACCCAGCCTCCGGAAAAGCCGTCTTGTATTCTGGAACGAGACCAGCAATCTCGAGAGAATAGTTTTGTCCTCCATACCAGTTGCATATGACATCAGCGTCACCGTAGATGAGAGCGACTTTGATACCACGAGCAAGCAGATCCGCTAAAGCGGCGATTTGCCCTCCGCGGGCTACATCTCCATCTAGGCAGGACATTAGTAAGATCGTTCCGCAGACAACCGGGAATGACATATAGTGACTTACTGTATTGGAAAACATTCGCAACGGTATAGCTAGTGGAGGTGAAGTTGACCGGTGCGCCAATGGATTGTAGGAAACCCTCTTCGTTCAAATACTCTGCGAGTGGAACAGCAGGCCCGACCGTTGGACCAGCTCGGAAGTCGTAGACACTCCTACCAGTGGTGTAGGCAACACTAGAAACCGCTGTGCAGTTATAGATGGCATTGTAGCATAGATCGTTAACGTCTTGGTCGGTACCAAGACCTTCGGGGTCGTTGAGGGCTGCCAACGCTCCGCACTGTGTCACCAGATCTTGGCAGCCCATGTCTACGTGGAGTTCCGACACCAAGTTTTGATAGGTAGTGAGGTCAATGCCTTCGATGCCATAGGTATTGTTGTACATGAACTCCAGGCCAAAAAGTGCCGACCCGTAAACATCCATTGCGCCGTTGACGATGCCGAGTGACCCAAGCCGAATGTCGAGCGCTTCGGATGAAATCTCACCCTTTTCCCGACGATCATTCTGGCTCTCATAATAGTCGGCGAAAAGTGGACCGTAAGTACCACCGTAGCTCTCGCTGAACAGGTTGACATGACAGGGCTCGACAGTATCGCTGTGGGATCGAGCGCCAGGGTTGTACTGAGGGAACGCCGATAGGAACCCTTGGAGGAAGTGCCACGATGCTTGTGCGGCAACAGTAGTCAGGTTTTCTGTATTGGCTCGAATAGCAGAAGGGAAAGTGCCGTTCTTAAAGCGCCATTCAGGAACGTCAGCAGGAAGTGGGGAAGGTTCCATGAGCTCGTCCCGACCAGTATAATCAGGTATACTAAAGTCCACCGAAGCGTTGCGGAGCTCATCGTATGAGAAGCCGACTTGGGTAGGTTGGTCGATGAAGATTACGTTGGAACTGCGGTCCCATCCCCAAACCCTGGTCTGCGTGGTGTAGCTGCCGTCTGGACCTTCTACAATCTCGCAAGGTCCCATCTCTCCGAAAAGCCCGAACATGCTTGAACCGCCAGGTCCTCCGTTCAACCAGATCGTCAATGGAGCAGTTTCGGGGTTCTCACGTGCCTCGAAGAACCAGAAGAAGGTGTTGATTGAGTAATCCTGCTGGAATGGCTCAAGCGTAAACGGAGGAAGATTGACATATCCGGTATACTGCTTCTGCGCCTCGAGAGCCGTTGCACACGAATGGGCGTCGGGCGTTTTATAGGATATGGTGATGCTAGGGTCGACGGGCGATTTGATGACGGTATCATAGGTTACAGGTAACGGATATTGCTGGGCGACTGACAATCCAGCGTGGAGAGCAGACATGAGAGCGATGGCGGGTGATTGGATCTAATACCTGTCAGTGATTGGCCAGCGTGCGCAGGCGGTTAGTGTGCTTACCATGTTGACGAGAACCTGGGTAGCGGAAAGCTATCGCATGGGAATGAGGATAAGAGACCTATGAGGTGCCGCAGCGACCAAATTATTACAACCAAGCAATGCGCGGTTCCGCGTCTCTGATCTTGCAAGTCGAAGAAGTGAAGAGAAGACGCTGACGACAGATAATTGGTGTGCCATGACGAACGTATTTGTACCGCAACTTCCCTTCACCTCCCAAGAGCGACGGAGCGCGACTTTGCTAACTAGGAAAGCTCCTCGCTCACTGCAGGGCAGCGGCGAAGCAAGTGGTGTGCGGCTGTGTGACGGTACCTGTTTAAATTGACGCCCCTCGAGCGCTAGTGAGTGTTTGCATCATTCCACGTACGCTCTCGCGATCCTACGAGACGGTTTGGACTACCCATTTCGGGGTCATAATAGACATAGTCTTTCGACCACAATAATGCAACTATATCCTTTCAATACCACAAAGTTCATCCTGATGTATCCCAAACCCACTTCTTCAGTGTCTTCGCAACGCGCTGTGTAGAGGCAATTCGACCGACTTGTAAGGACCACGCCACATCGCATCTCGGGAATCCGTGTACGGCATGAAACTGGTCGCACCCCAGAGTCGAGTACAGATAGGCTAAATGCTTACAAGGATCTACAAAGCCACCATGGGGCCGCTAATTTTACCACCCTCAGGTGTGAGTTGGCGTGGTTGACATCCAAGGCGCGTAGACAGGCTGCGTTGTGAATCGATGTAGTCAGCTGTGTAAGGCAGCGTTTGCGAGTTGCATCCTCCTCCCGTGACCCCCATATATCCAACCAACTGCATCGGCCATGTCATTGTGGTATGGTATCCATCCTGTGTTGTGTAAGCTAGCTGTAGTCGCATCACTCGCTTCGGAATACTGCTCACCTTCAGGAGCAAAGCCGCCGGCTTCTTTTCCTTTCAACTCTTCCCAGGTCCTCTTTCCGGCAAGCCCAAGCTGTACAGCTCTCGATCTCTTACCTCTCTTTGCGATAATCCTCACCTCGCCCTTCATGTCCTGCTCCGGTCCCGCGATGCGCCAATTCTCGTTGACTTCGTGGCCTGGCTTCGCTGCCCATGGCTGCATTATGCGCCCGTCTTCTGTCTTCTCGTCCCCAGTCGCCGTGTGCTGCGCATAAGGAACGATGTACATCTTGACCTCTGCGCCGTACTCCTCTCCATCGCGTTCTTTGATAAGCGCATCCCAGTTCTCGGGTTGCGCTGACCGTTTGCGCCGGTGGTCGTAGCCCGAGGCAATGAAATCGGTACATGGTGTTATGTACGTCAGTTCTTTCCAAGCGTCGCTGTTCAGAAGAGTCTCGATGTCGAAGTAAGTTGTGACATCTCGCCAAGCATCACCCAGACCGAAACCATGCCAGCAATCCTCTACAACCAAGGTATCCAGACAAAGACCAGGGAGCAGAGTGAAGGCATTCGCTGCATAGTATGTAGGGTAGTACTGCGCGCTCCCTGAGGAGTACAACGGGAAAGGATACGCACGAACTCGAACGTGGCGGAGTCGCGTCACTACGCTCTGATCAACAGAGAGGAGTGTTTCGAGTAGATTCTCTGTGCCGCGGAAATGTAGAGTGCAGTTGAGTGGAAGATGGCGATGCGCCTCGGCGAAGACCTGGCGACAGCTGAGCAGGAGCGCTATGCGATTAGAAGGCTCTGCGTCGTCGCTAGGGGCACCGGCATGTTTAAAGCCATGTCGGATGGTATAACTGCTGAAGAGGAAGCCGTATATGAGTTCGCGCAACTCAATGGGTATCGTCAGAAGGTTTGGGGCGTTCATGGTGTTGTCGTTCCTGCTGTTGCGCCAGCAATTGGCACTGGTTACTAGAGGCGAGGGTGCCTTGCTTATAAGGAAATCAAGGATTTTCCAAACAAGTTGCTGATAAGAAGTAGTCTATCTTAGAAGTCGGTAGCCGGGCCCAAACAAGTGGTACCTGTGCGTAAGCTGTGTCACTGGCCGATAAGCACGATCAGGTTACATGCTCTGGATCTGATGACAGCTGCCATGGCCGCCCGGTGCTGCGGAACGCGCGGACTATAAGTCATGTTCAGCTCACGTCCCGGCTGGAGCTCCCTAGCAGCGGTTGTTATTCCGGGGGTGAGATGACGTTTGAAGCTCTCCGGTGCGCTAGGAACGAGCTAGTGCATGTCCGCGGTGTCGCATGCTCGGTCGCAAACCACAAACGGTCAAGACATGGGCGGGCCATTAGCTGCGCATATGCACACGTGCCACGATAGTGCGAGATCGACATGTATTACAAGATATGGTTTGCTGTGGAAAGAACAGTGGTTGACGAATAGAATGCTTTGTCTTGGGTATCTTTGATGCTCGCTCAAGTTCAGATCTGCCTCGTTGTATGGCTTGCGAGGGCTTTGCGCCATATGCTGCACTGGATGCGCTCAGTCTGACTTGGTTCGCCCACGAGTCCGCTGCTGCTCCTCCTGCAGCTTCTTCTGCTGCCACTGCCATTCTACAAGCACAGGCAAAAACTGCCACAGATCGAACTCGGGCCACAGACACTTGAGAAACACGATAGAAGTGTTCTCGTGTGCTTGCCAGAGCATGAAGTCGCTCAGCCGCTCAACGCCAGAGGTACGAACGAGCAGGTCGAGGGGCGGGGCGTCAGCTGTCATCATGTTGTCGTTCAAAGTTTGAGCACTAATTGACTCTGGATCCAGAAATGTCGGCTCATTATGCAAGTCATCCTTCTCAGGCGAGTTGATGGCGGTCGAAGTTGACGAGGAACGCCCATCGTCAGCCGCAGTCGCTTCCTTGGACGAGGGCGACGCCGGCCGCGAATCAGACTGTTCCGCTATACCTTCCGTATCCTCCTCCAACATTTGCTTGCGAATAGTCTGGGTTATGTGCGATTCGGAAAAGGTTCGCTTAGAGGGGGTAGGCAGGTTGTGTATCGGCGTGCTGTACGTCTCGACAGTCTTCATGACCGCGGTCGTGATTTCGTGCCGTGACGTGTAGGGGAAACAGACGTTGAGCACAGCTCTGGTCGTGGTCAGCAATACTCTTCATGGATCGAAAGTTAACGCACTTCTTGTTGTGTGCTGTCATGGCAACAGCCTTGTCCACAGCCACCAGTACGTCTGGGCTGATGAGCTCGCGCTGCCCCAGCACTCGGACGGATGCACCATAGCGATCCAGCAGAGCTCCGTGCTCAGCCAGTTGTTGCAGCTTCACCTTTGCCATGGACATGAGCGCATCAACTTCATGCTTCGAGCGCTTGAAGTTCTCTATGCTGAATGCATAGATGGTGACAACCTTGACGCCAGTTTTGTAGCAGACTTCGAGGATCTGGTAGCGATGTTAGCATAATATTGCGACACCTGAATGCCATTCACCCATACCCTTGCTAACGACTCAAACCCGAGATTGTGTCCTTCGACTGTCTCAATATGGTGGTTTCGCGCAAATCGCCTGTTACCGTCCATGACGAACGCAACATGTTGCGGAATGGGGCCTTGCTTCAGCGACCCAATAAGAAGCTCTCGTAGCTGCCTGACTGTCCATGCGACGGGCGGCGACGTCGCAAACCACTTGTGTATACGGGAATCGTGGAGGGAGCCCATGGTGAATATTGTTGAGGTGCTTGGCTTGGGTCTGTAGGGTAGGAGCTTCGAAATATCGAAGGGGGGTGCAACGTGCTTTTCTACGATAACGAGGGGAACGATTGGATGCAATTGTGGAACAACAGTCAGGGTATCATGGTGTATAAGAATTGATGCCAGTGGTAAGATGCTACGTAACGTATTCAAGGCGCAGCGAGCCCTGACGCGACTCCCAAGCAATGGAGCATCGGGTGGCTCCTGCAGCGGTGAGTGGCTGGTGAGGTGTGACTAAGCGTGGCGCGGACCAACCGTCGCTTCCGAAGCTATAGTCTTTGCCGAGCTTCCGTTCTTCTTTCTTCTTTCCCGACTGCGAGCCTCACTTGCCGCGTCATCATTGCTGCGCTCTTCTGCCCTGCAGTAGCATTACACGCATCACTTTACTAACCTTGCCATGGCTGAAGAGGCTCAGAACACTGTGACAGAGCTCGCTGAGCAGCTCGTTGAAGGCTTTGCCGCGCTTAGTGGAGAATACCAGGTTTTATTCGACCAGCAAAAACAGCTGGAAAGCAAGCTCTCGTGGGCAAAGCAACAGGTACGTGGCGACTTTTCGCAAACCTCCCTCTCCTATGATGATACATTTTAGCTCTAGACCTGCAGCTGCACAGCGGCATTGACAGACAACCTTTTATTATCATGTACTGAACCGGACAACCGCCTTACATCTCAGCACACAATTACCTCTATGGACACAGCTGACGATAAACAGTATCTTGATCTTTTGAAACGCTTCACTCCCAACACGTTGTCGCAAGACCACCTTACTTTCCTGCAAGACCTTGAGCGCGTTGGAGACGAACAACCTCGGATACATTTGAATTTGGTGGAGCAGTTGGCAAATAGCGATGATGTAGAGCGCAAGAGCCGAGCACTGGTCATCCAGAAGGCTGAGGAGGCTGCTGTCAAGCTGCATGCGTCTGAGAATAATAGCAGTGTAAAAATATGGAGTGGTCCGTCCGCAGACAAACCCGCCCCGTTGCCTGAGATACAGACCAATAGAGCCACGTCACCAATAGAGAAAGACTTCACTGTTGCTGGAACACCTAGTAAACTCGCCTGTCCCTTCGCATCCGGTAGTGGCAGAGGCAGCCCGCTTGCCACTCCACGTAGCTCGACGTCCCGATTAAGCGTACGCGGTCGAAGATCAAAACGTCCCTCGTTCACCGACCCTATCCGTGCTGAAATATGCAGCAATAATCCTGCGTCGGTCACCGCGTCAGTAGCGGCGTCAGGCTCTGCTGCCGTGTGCCCCATCCGATTCCTCGACCAACATAATCCTGAGGAGGTGGCTAAATACTTTGAGAAACACAAGCATGAGCTGCCGAGAAGCCATGAGGTCTGCATCACGCGCTTCCAGAGTAACCAAGAGAGCATAGAGCAGCTTGATCGCAAGTATGGCAATCTGGTCAACATGATCCAGGGCTTAGGGCAGAAGCACCAAGTGTGGCTTCCTGAAGATCCTGATGATGCTATCGAAGAAGAGCCGGAGGCAGAGCTTCACTTAGAGACCAACGCAAAGGCTGATACCAAGGTGCAAAACTGGGCCTCAGCTGTTTCGGCAAGTCTCAACGATGGCACTCCACCACCTGAGGAAGAGTCAGAGGAGCATGCGTTGGATGAGACAAGGACCGCACATTTTGATCGGGACCGGCCGCTAAAAGAAGTCAGGGTTGGCGAATCACCAAGTCGGCCATGGGGCATCTCGATACCTGCAAAGTACACCAACGCTGAGAGTTCATCCTCGGTGGGCTCTGTACCAACAGCATCGCCACAACTGCCACTCGACACTGGTCGTCCGATTGGCGAGACACCTCAAAAGACTGGCAAATGCCCTATCGATCACCGTGCGATGATGGGACAAACACCGCAACAGCCTGAAGTATCTCACTTTGGTTTACCGCCACAGTCGCAGCCTCGGGCTCCAACAACACATGTACCACCTACAGAACGTCCGCCACAACCCACCGCCCCAGAACCGCAACAGCCCAGAGAGCCCGAAGGTCCGAAGTTGGTACCGCAGATGGTGTTCAATGGGCCTGTCTTTTTGGGATACCCGCCCGAGCAGTTGGCTATACTATTGCAAAACAGTAATCTCGGTGCGGCAATGCGGTAAACATGGAACACCGTACAAATCTTCAATTCGCTGGCTAGTTGCTTTGAGGTATTGTATCGTACTCGAAGGTAGGCTCGAACAGCTGCTTGCCTCACAACTACGCGTCACAATCGTCCTTTGATGTTGTTGTGCTTCTTCTCATGCGCTTTTGTCAACCATCATTACGTCGTGCAGTCATCGATTCTGATTTTCCAAAGGTCCTGCGAGTCGATGCTTCCACCTCTCCTGCGCAGCCATCTGGCAGCTCTTATTTGTGCAATCCTGCGACTATCTTCATTTCTTCTTCAGATCTGCCATCCACGTCCGTACGCCCTTTGCGCTATCGTGTGCTGCACGAAACACTTGACGGTCGTTAGCAGTTGTATGGCGAAACTAGCCCAGCACTTACATTGCCGCTCGTTCTCATCCAGGCCTCGCATGAAGTCGGCGCCTTCGCCTAATGCACCTCGTGGATTATGGGCTTGATCGGCTATGAGAGCCGCCCTGGCCTTGAATGTCTATGCGGGTTAGCATGACGCCGTTGCATTAATCTAGAGCAGAACTTACATCGCTTAGCACCTCGATCATCTCTTCCTCCTCAAACAGTTCCAGGATTCGTGCGCCAAGATTGTAGAAGTGTGGGGCGAGAGCTCGTAAATCGACGGTTCTTGGGTCAGCTTTGAGGGCATTCAGAACGCGCGGAGATAGGGCGGATGGAGGGTCGATGGTTACAAGAGAAGATGTATTTAGACTTTGACTGTAGATATTGTAAACATGGAATGTGCATATCATGAACATGGTTATTTACCTCAATGCAAGCATCTCGCCCAGCCATAGTGGAAGCTCGACTTTTGAACCCTGCTTCATGTCACCGCTCATGTTACCCTCGAGATAGCCGAGGCCAGGAACGGTAAGCTCGAAAGTACATGGTACCTTTTGAGCGTCGGTAAGGATTGCGTCTACGTCGTAGTAGGAACCCATCCTTCGCTGGAGGAGTTCAGTTAGTCAAAAACAGCATACAGATGCGAAAACATTTAATTCTTTCAGCCGACATGCTGTGTTGCAGGATC